CAACACTGACTTTGTCAATCACTTTGAGAAAAGTATGAACTTCAGCCTCAGCTTCAGCTGCTGCAGGTTTGATCTTTAACCACCAGGGTGTGAGAGGAAAAAAGAAAAATCACACATTTGTCTCCGTTATCCTTACACTCAGGGTTCACTTAATGTTTGAGCAAAAAAGCGGCAGATCAGACTGAAGGTCGCGACCTTAGCTAACAGTTGACCGCGTGTGTGCGTTGAATGATAAACAGTGTTAAAAAAAAAAAAACACCCAGAGTCGTCACCTGGTTTGATCGTTTAAAAACCTCCACATTGAACGATCAAACGTTAAAATCAAAATAATGACATGACGTGTCATAAACTGTTCCTACCACCAGGGGCATGCAGAGTCCAGTTGATGGAGCGTTGATACAGAACACTTAAACTTCTGAAGTATTTTTGGAGTAAAAAGTCAACGACTGTTTTGAATCTCCTGCAGGGAGAGGCTCTGTGACAATTTGGGGCTACATTTTAGCTGTGAACAGTCACGGGAAATATTGACAAAGTATTTTACAGTTTAAAAAAACTTTTAATTTTTTTAATATCAGTGTAACTGGGTCAAATCCTGGTCTATTTTTCTGTGAAATCCGTTCATTTCTGTAGAGAGAGGCTCCGTGAAGGTTTAGGGCTGCGGCATTAAGTATTTTCCATAATGAACAGTGATTGCAAGTATTTATTTATTCAAGATTTAAGTGTAGATTTTTCTACACTTCTGATGTTTATGCCATTAGAATTTTGCATTATTCTACACTTCTAATGTTTATGCCATTAGAATTTTGCATTAATCAGATTAGGATTATTCAGATTAAACGTGTCAATCGTTTTGACCCCCATCTCTGCAGGTGACCTACCCGGTCAGAGTGTTCTCTCTTCTGGGCGTGAAAACCCTGATTGTGACAAATGCTGCGGGGGGGCTCAACGGCACCTTCAATGTCGGAGACATCATGTTCATCAAAGACCACATCAATCTGCCGGGCTTGGTGGGACAGAACCCTCTGTGTGGTCACAACGACAAGAGGTTCTGTGAAAAAAACAAACCAACTGGAGCAGGAGGAGGGAGAGAAAAAAGGGAAACAGCGCCCTCATGAGCCGCAATCTCTGTCATCATGTGTGCAGGTTTGGGGTTCGCTTCCTGTGCACGTCTGACGCCTACGACCGCGATTTGAGAGCCGTGGCCAAACAGACGGCTCAGGAGCAGGGCTGCGGCCACATCCTGCGGGAGGGGGTCTACTGCATGGTGACTGGGCCGACGTACGAGACCGTCGCTGAGTGCAGACTGCTGCAGACCCTCGGAGCTGACGCTGTTGGTAAGTCCCAAGAGCTAGCTACTGTAGTGTCGTCACTAAAAGCGTGCATTGGCAATAATTTGACGATACAACGTATCGTTACAATGTATTGCGATATTCTGCGATACCGTAGGCACAACGATATATTACTGTCTCGTAAATTTCAGTGGGTTTTACAAAAAAATTCAATCATTAATACTGCATAAAGGCAAAGGTGTTCAACACGGGGTCCGTGGCCCTAAAGTGGTCCACAGAGCCACTGTTGCGGGACGTGACATTTAAGTCTTTGTACGAACGCAGTCTGAAGAAACTTTGTTTCCGGGTCCAGGAATGAGCACAGTGCCAGAGGTGGTGGTGGCCCGTCACTGCGGCCTACGTGTCCTGGGTCTGTCGCTCATCACCAACAAGGTGGTGACGGACTACGACAGCGACATGACTGCCAACCACGAAGATGTCCTGGAGACCACCAGGATCTGCGCCCAGCTGCTGCAGGAGCTGGTCAGCAGCCTCATCGGAAAGATCTAGAACAAATTACTGGTCGTTGGCACCAACACAAAAACGTGATGGTGGTTTTTAAAAAAAAAAAAATTAGAAAGAGTTCTAGCTGTTAGAAATACCCAGCATTGGATTTTTAACATGGATTTTTACAGTGATATTTTTACAAAGAGCACAAAGAGATTTTTATGAAATTAAATTAGTTAAATTAGTTCAGTTAAATTAATTTGATCTAGAATGTTGTGTTCACTATGCACTACTGACGACCTTATCACTTTATCAGTACAAAGGAGGAAGTAAAGGGGGGGGGGGGTAAATTTGTGTTTTCAATCTCCACCGTCGACACCAAAGCCGCTGCCAGGTTCCCTTGAATTCATTAGAGTTGGAAATAGAACAGGAAATATCCTGGATCAGCACTCCTCCGCCTCCTGGACCGCTTTGTACCGGGCTTAGCATTAAGATGCTAATGGGAGTGTTGAGAGGGAATTCCACTCTGAGTGAAGACGGCCATCATCCAAATGTAAAACCTGGAGCAGGGCCATGCACGTTGAACAGAAGAAACGCTGTGATTTACACACACACACACACACACACGCTGGGAGTCCGTTCAAAAGTGCTTCATATCTGAGGGTATAATTCTACCGAGCTTCCATTCTCTTCCTGTGTGGGACATAAAGAGCAGATTTTTAGCATTTATTGGACTCTTCAGATTTCTGCTGACTGTAACATCTGCTGCTGAGTCACAGCCAATGTTTCCACGTCTGACGTGGAGTTTCACCTTCATCGTCAGTTCACTCTCCAGACAAATGTTGAATAAAGAAGTTTCAAAACAAACACTCTCAGGGTGACGTGAGGACACGAGGACGAGAGAGAGAGAGAGAGAGAGGACCGGGTTCTATCCACAGTCACGTACATAACAAACACCAGAAAGTGTTTTCTATATAATTGAATTATTACATAAACAATATTAATATGTTTATTGTTTTATAAAATGCACTTTCATCTTGACAATAATTAGATTGGATTTCAAAATAAAATACCACGCAGGCTAACGTATACATGGAAAAAAAGAAAAATCTGTGCATCATAGTACAAAATGATCCATGGCCCAGTATTGGTCCGTGCCCCAGTAGTTGGGGACCCATGCATTTGAAGGTGCTGTTGTTAGGATCAGGTTTTCTGTCTCATAATAATAATGAGAATTAATAATAGACAATGGAGGTCATTTGGCTGATTAGACTTAGCTTAGCTTAGCTTAGCATACCGTAGCATGATTTAGTTTGAAGAAAATATGGATAACTTCTGAAATATTCCACAGTTTGTCCTGCGACTGAAGACTCATTCATGGTTGTTCTTTTATTTTGTATTTAATATAAAAATCAATAAGTAGAACTGATCACCTCGGACTGACGTGAAAACCTCTAACTGTAACCAGAACCACAGCTCTCTGTTCACACTTTTATTTTGACGCGCTGACGGTGACGTTGTTAAAACATCAAATAAAGCCAGAAAGTAATAAAACCCGGTTCTGCCTCAGTCACTGTTCTCATTCTATCTTTAACCACAGCCTCAGGAATAAAGTTCTGCCTCATTAGAACCTTAGGCTTTGGTCTCTGTGAGGATCAGCTGGGAAAAAAAAAACACTTTATAAACACAAACACACGTTGCAACGGCAACAACATTCACATCACAACAAATCCTAATTCCAAACTAAGTCCTGATCCTCGGAATGAGGACCTGCAAGATGTCTCCATTAGGACAGAGTAGATGTCCCCACATGTATGACTAAACCAGGACACAGACACACACGTCTCTCACGTCTTCCTTCATTTACAGCACACACACAGCGAACAGATGGAGACGTGAGGTGGAGATGACTGCTGGCCGCTCCGCTGCTCTCCGTTACATAATTGATCCACATACAGTGTAGAGCAGAAAGAGCTGAAATATTCATACAGATGAAGCACAACAGGCCGACAACACAAACACGGCAACAACAGCAGCAACGGCAACAACATTTGATTCAGACTCATTTCCCCAGAGGTCACGGTGTCTTTTTGGAGACTTGCCTGCTAACAGCAAAATCTGCAAAATTATTACCAAGTATCTGAGCGCCCTCCATTGGAGGACCATCAAACAGGTTTTTAAATTTGGAAAAATTTGGCCCAACAGTAGGAATAGCTTGTGAGCAGTCCAGTTTTCCATCAAACAGCTTTTTTAATTTGGAAAAATAGAACGTTGGCCCAACATTAGGAATAGCTTGTGACACCGCTAGCTGTACGACAAAAAAACATATCGATGAAATGGAACATCCTTCCACCGTGTCTGAAACCACTGAGGGATAAAGGAGAGGAGGGTGAAGTCGGTTTGACTCTGGCACGTCCCTGCGGGCTAGCGTCAGGCCTCCTCTGTGATGCGGCGTTGATCATCCACCGTCGCCGTGACAACCCAACCCGGCGCAGCCTATTGATTGTTAAAGGGTGGAAAGAGAAGCCCGGGAAACGGAGCGGGACAGCTCTGCTGAGTTCACACATCGTAACAGTCTGAAAAAAAACATTGATGAAAAAAAAAATTAGCCGTCTATAACGGCATATTTGAAAATATTTTGAAAAAACTGAGGATAAACTAAAAGTCAAAACTGCAAGTAAACAAGAAGAAAAGAAGTAAACAAAATGTTACACTTAACATAAATTAAATAATTTATAATAAATAATTAAATAACAATAATAATTAATTTAGTTACAAGGTAAAAAACTAAAGCTAGAAGTGATCAAATGTCACCAGGGTGGAATTTATTCAAACGTCTAAACGTAGTTTTTTTTCCAGACCAGAACGCGGCCGTAGATTTTCCCACCGTCCGTTTTCTGCCCTGCTGGACGTTTTTCTGTTGTCTGTCATAACAACAGAAGGTAAAAAGGTGTTGTCTCCTCCTGCCGACGGTTCCAGGAGGTTGTCAGCTCTGACGTGACATTATTAAAGCGGAGGCCAAACTCGTCTTCATCGACTTTAAGGCAAACTGTGCTGCAGCGGGAAACGCTGACGTACGGAAGTGCAGCCAAATGTCATGTCAATACTATAGACTGACTTTTCTATACGTCCTCCTGACCGTCGTCGGTCAGTCGACCGCACTGGTTCGTATTCACGTCTGGAAGAGAATTCATCGACTTCCTGCTGTATTCACGAAGTCACAAAGGATTTTTTTTTTTTATAAGGCCTGTTGTTGTTGGCTCGGTGAATAACGGTCGAATGGAAGATAAGGAAGAGGAAGTACTGTACTGAAGTACAGGAAGTTCAACCAGTTCCAGTACGAAGTACTATGTTGAGTTCCCGAAGCAGGATCATCAGAGAAAGTACCAAGAACCAAGGATTCTGGACACAAAAATAGTCCCTGCATCCATGTGTGGACTGAAAGGGTTTAAACTCGTTTGTTTTCATGCAAAAAAGTACAAGTATATTCAATATTTATTGTTATAATTTGTTCATATTTAACAAAATACAATTTAAAAAAATATCCTGAACATAAAGCGTTGTATTTTTTTTAAATTAAACTTTTTTTTGAAAATTAATCAAACGGGCCAGTTTTGGCCCGTGGGCCGTATGTTTGACACACCCGGTTAAAAAGTTTGATGCTCCGACTTCAGGTTTCATGCTTTAATCCTGTTCCTAGTCTGCGTTCAGTCTTTCAGAGTGGGTTTGAAACAGTGTTTGTCAATTATTTTCCTTCAAGCGCCCCCTAGGGGACAAAAGTTTTTTCACGCTCCCCTCAACCACAGGAATCAAATTACTATTGAGATTTATCTGTACAAACCACTGTCTGAGTTCTTCTTCTACTAGGTTGAACGGGCAGCCTGCTCTGCTGCCATCTAGTGGAGGCTTGTTTACCATTCAATAATAATGAATAAAGACAGTCCCACCTGGGGCCCTCTGTGATACCTCACAATGGCTCCCCAGGGGTTGTGCGCCCCACTATTTGAGAAACACTGGTTTTAATAATCATGTTGATGAAGACATTTTAAATCCTGCCCATTCACACTCGCATTCACACCAAGCAGCGTGAACAATTCAACCGGACTAACTGACCGCAGACTGACCATCACAGACCACCAGGCCTCGAACTGGTGGTCTTCAATCTGTAAGGCAACAACACTAACCACTCCTCCACCGCGTGGCTCGGCTCCCTCCGCTCCTCGACCCTGACAGCTGTCATCCATCAACAGGTGACTGGACTTCAAACTCCACACTTAATGCCTCTGCTGCTTACTGCCCCTGCCTCCAGGAGGTTATTGAATAATCGGGGGAGTCGGGGGGGGTGGACTCTCCCCTAATTGAATCCTGACATGTTGACACATTACAGCGGGGCAAAAAACACAAGTGGAGTTAATAAGGTTCATTAATAACCCTGAGCCGAGTCCCCGCCTCTGGGCCCGCGGCCCCGTGTGCCGACGATCCACGCCGTGAATGGAGCCGTCGTTAATCCAAGGAGTCCTGTTTGACCCCTGGCCCGCAGCGGCGCCGTAAAACACCCCTAGTGGCGATCGAGGGTGGAGGGGGGGTCGAGTGAATATCACATTAAAATTCAATCAATGCAGAAAAACTGCCTTTTTGCTCCTTTGAATCCATCAGCGGGGGTAATGGCTGCGGGGGTTTTACCCTCCTGCTCATCACGGCCCCGACTCCATCCAGAACATGAGCCACTGGGGCAGTAAATGAGCAGCGGGGACACACGTGAGGACCGTTTTTTACGTCCTCATTCTGGGAGCTGGATCACTTCGTCTGGTCATTAATGAAAAAGTTTCTCCTTTTCATTTTTTTTTTTTTTTTTTTTTTGTCTTTCATTTATTACACGGGTTAATCACTGCTGCCTGCAGGCGGAGCGGGGAATATGATTAGCCAGTGAGTTCTAATTAAGTCTGTGAAGCTTCAACACTGCTGGAGCCGAGCACGCTTAGATACACACAGATTAGAGGGAATACACACACACACACACACTCTTGTCTTTCCTTAAAGGGACAGACATGTTTTTGTTTTTTGTTTTTTTTTGTTATAAATGTGCTGCAGCGATAACCAGCCTGAGACTCAGAGGTCGACTCTGACTGATACTAACTATTAGTCAGCGTTGGCCGCAGCTTTAATTCATTCACTCTTCCATCACCGGTCCAGCAGGAGCCGCTGTGGAACTATTGATTTTCCTGAATGTGCTGCCAAAAAATAAGTACTGAAAACAACGTGTTAAGTTTTGGTTTATGAGCCTTAAAATAATGTCCACAAATAGGAATAAGGGGGAGCATAATAGGAAAAAGAACTTTCTAGTATTTTGGGTGAGGGCGGGGGGGGGGGGGAAGAGGGCTGGAACTAATCCCATCAGTCATCAGGGTGACAACAGAGTTACACCCTGGACACATCTCCAGTCCATCGCAGAGACAAAACAATCTTTCACGTGCACATTCACCACCTTCATGTAGTTTTCTGCCGCTCCTGACTTCATCTTCGAGTGACCCTGTTTTGCATCATTTCAATTTATGAAATAAAATAAAATGGAACTAATCCCTGGATCTGTTTCATCACAGGGTCACAACCAGCCGTTCACACTCACATTCACACCGACAGTCGGATCAGAGTGAACAGGTCCCTGAAGACAAACCAAGAGACACACAGAGGACAACATGTGAACTGAACAGAGGAAGGGTCGTGATCAGCCCCCGAACCAGACCTTTAAAACCATCACGTCCATGTAAAAAAAAAATTAACATCTTTTCAAAATAAATCAGAGAAAACAGGTAAAACACACACACACACACACACACACGATCACTGCAGTGGCCAGGAAATCACATCGAGATCCCGCATGGAAACGCGCGCGCGCACAGGAACACATACCGGCGGACCGAGAGTTCCAGTGCCGGTGCGCCTCTAGCGGCGTCGTCGCGGCGCTGCAGCTGCTGTTAAAAAGGTGCGGGCGGTGCGCGGCGCTGCTCCAGTGCTGGTGCGCCTGGTTTGAAGAGGACACGCGCAGAGAAAAGTTTAGACCCGGATTCTCTGCCTTCTCTCTTCTCTGCAGCAGCAGCAACAGCAGCAGCAGCAACTGAGCCCGAGCATTTTCATCGTTCTAACCCTCCTCATCATCATGGCAAACAAGGCACAGCAGCCTCCGCACCTGCACCTGGCCGAGGTCACCGCGTCCCAGTTCCTGGACATCTGGAAACACTTTGACGCCGACGGTAGGAATCCCTGCGTCCCTTCAGTGTCTTATCCTCTCTGTCTGTCTTTGTTTTAAGAAAAAAAAAAATCGACCAAATCCACGAAACAGGTTTAAAAATATCTGCCGTCATTTAACGTAACTGAAGAAACGACTTGATTTAAGACACGAGACGGAAAAAAGCGCAGAGAAAAAAAAAAACAAAGAAAAGAAAAAGTTTGTAAATTAGATTGTTTTTAAATCCTGGTAATAAAAACTGAAAAAAAAACTTTATCACTCATTTAAAAAAAAGCTTTTTTCTTTTAAAGTCGACATTTTTTGCTTTATCACTCATTTTTAAAAAAAAGCTTTTTTCTGTCGACATTTTTCAGTCTCAATATTAGTGTTAGAAAAAGGGACATTTCCACTAAAATCTGATTATATTCCCCTTGACTTTCTTTCATGAATCTTTCAGAACTTTTAATGCACTGGCAGATCTATAATTCATAGGTAGTTCTGCTTAAAGACTAATATAGAACATACATCCAGTTCAATTAACAACACACACACACACACACACACTGCTGCCTGTTTAACAGCAGGGAAGATCCAGTGGTGAAGACACTGGGATCGACGTCTGATCTGATGACTGTTTTCTCTGCTTTAATTGACCGGTAATTACTGGACGTTGCCACGTATCTAATTGTCTGTGAGGGATCCCGCTCTGCAGGGTTATTGATAACCGTTTCCAATCGAAAAGCTGGTTTGTACAAGTTGATCAATAGGTGGTTGAGGTGTTTTCTCCACCGGGTTATTAGTTCACACACCTGGGTTGTTGGTTGGTTTTTTTTTTTCCATGTCATTAAAAAAGGGAGCGTAAGAAAAGACGGGAGGAGAACAACAGCAAACTGAGGCAGTGATTGACTCACGATGCAGCATCCGAGGCTCCATCCTGCAGGGAGGAGGAGGAGGAGGAGGAGGAGGAGGAGGAGCCTCATCATCAGAGATAAGATCAGACTGATGATGTTAACCAACTCCACAATTATTAGCTATCAGCTTCTGTCAGCTAATTAAAACAAACGTGATGAATGATAAGGCAGCAGTGGGTTCAGCTGGAGGATGAGGATGAGGATGAGGATGAGGATGAGGAGGAGTCCTCGGTACCGATGGAGCCCACACTAGTGTGGAACTCAGCTGCAGGAGAGGAGGAGAACGCCGGGAGTTCACAAAGACCGAGTTGGTCCACGTTACAAAATGTGGATAAAGCAGTGAAAAAAAATTGTCAAAATATTCAATAAATATTACAATATATGTGTATACATATTTAATATATAATATTATAATAAATTATATTATTATAACCATTACAATAAGCTAATATTTATTTATTACAATCAAATACTTTTGGCTCATTTTTCCTCCAAATGTGAATTATTTTAGTGTAAATTCCATTTTTAAAAAAGTTTGTTTTGAGTTTGATTTTTTTTACCCAATCATTTTAATTTAATTTATTTTTTGTCCAACATATCAATCATCTTTACTTTAGTCCTACTTTAATCTTCTGGTTCTCAAAAAATCAGCAAACGATGGTCCTCACCAGGATGCAAAAACAAGTATGCACACGCATTCTTGTCCCCCTATAGTTGTTAGGAAACACTAATTCTTGTGATTCAGTTCTCACTGGTCCTTAGACAAACCTTGACCTGAACCCAGTGGTCAAACTCAGCCTAAAGTCAGTGGTCAAACCTAACCTAAAGTCAGTGGTCAAACTCAGCCTAAAGTCTAACTTTGATACTAAAGCTCTCAGTTTACTGACGCTCCTGAGGACGATCCCAGAGAGGAGCCACGGTCTGGAGCTCAGAGTGGTCTTCAAAGCCATGTAATTTAATCACACACTCTCTTACACACACAAAGACAAACACACACACACACCTGGGAATTCATCGTCAACATGATGTGTTTTGAAGACACACACACACACACACTCCGCAGGGAAATCAAGGTGGAATCAGACGGCGGACAGTGAAGTTGTCACGTCCTTTTTTTTTTTAATCTCTTCCTCAGTTTATTAACATGAATCTCTTAACGAACAGCACAGAGTGTGTGTGTGTGTGTGTGTGTGTGTGTGTGTATTTTTCAGCACTGGGACTGTTTTGCATACTTTGCTTTGCAACGAGCCTCTTTGCAAATCAAATGCAGCCCGCGGTGTCTGCACGGATTTGCCCCTGGTGTGTGATTTCTGCCCTCATTACTGGGAGTGTCCTGTGGTTCCACACAAGTGGAGAGAGAGGGAGAGAGAGAGGGAGAGAGAGAGGGGAGCGGAGAGGAGGGGAGAGGGAGGTGGACTCATTTGTTTGCTCAGATTGAGCAAACATCTCTGAGTTGCAGTAAAAACAAGAAATATATGTATCTATGCATAGGAGGTGCTGTTGAGCCCAGCTGTGATGAAATGACTCACAGGCGCCCCCCGTTGGCCGAATAATTCAACCTCATCTGGACCACTACTCTGGTCCTCGCTCAGTTTTCTCTTCTGTCCAGGACCAATCATTTCAACGCATTCACTTCGGAGCTAAAAAAGAAAAATAATATTTTTTCTTAATTTAATCAAAGTATATTTTTAAATATATTTAGACAAAATACATTGTGAAATTAGTCAACTTTTATTTACCTCACTTTGAATTTGAATGGACTCAGATGAACCCTAATTTGAATGGCAAATTAATGTCTCAAAGCTCGGGCTCGGGGGCCAGATGTGGTTTTTAGTTTGACCGTCAATTATGTTTCAACTCTTCGTCTAGGAGTCAGTTCCAAATGGCTGCTAAAAAATTGTCGTTTTTAAACCGTTAGCAAACCAGTTTTGCTGCATTTGTTGCTCAGTTTTTTTCATGCTAACAATTGCCAATGATGGTTAGTTTGGTTTTCGTTTTTTTGATTTATTTATTTTCTGGGGTTTATGCCTTAATGACTTGTGTTTTACGTTGTTCCAGACGCTGGTGTTTCTCGGCTAGTCTTTGCCGATCTATCTATTTCCTGGTCCAGTTTCCAACAGCTCATTTCTAGCCCTGCAGCTAACTTTACCGAAACAGCTATTGACTTTCGCATGTTTAGCATTACGTTAGCATTCAACAATTATTAAGCCATTAGCGGTGACTGGCTAACTTGTCGCTATATTGGCCTGTGTCTGTATCTTTTTCTTTCCAACTCTGTCGAACGCATCTGTGTTAACATTCCAGTGACTCATCAACGATCTCACCCAGTGACCATCAGGCTTTAAACCTGGGATTTTGCTGCTGTAAGGCAGGAGGTCTTCCCACTTCCCCACCGTGTTGCCTGACCATCATATTCATCATTTGACACTGGACTCTTTGTATTGAACGGTCAATGAAGCAGCGCTGCTGGTTTGGAACGATCTCGGCAGCGTCACAAACCCAGGCTATATCTCGCATAAATATTACGGCGGCGTTCGGATCTATGGCCGCAGTAAGCCAACATACACGACGACGGTTTGTCCTAATCCCTCTGTAAATCTATCTTTATGGCTCTATATTTCCCGCCTCCGGCCTTGTCGTTAATCACATTTTCAGCTGTTTAATTACCAGGCAGGTCTGTGGTCTCCAGAGTGGAGGATGTCAATAAACTGCCAGCAGGAGGCAGCGTCGCAGCCAGACACTTGACGGTGGCACTTTAAGTGAATGCAGCAGAGCTGGTATTTATGAGATTTGATATTTCATGGACAGGAAGAAAAGATGCTAAGATGCTGGTTGGTCGCAGCGACCGAGGGACCAGGAGAGGAGACGAGACAGTGAGTTAGAGGGAAGGAAGTGGCTGGCATTCTAATCTTTGTTAGGGTTTAATGAGGCAGCGCCGCCTTCCAGGGTTTTATTGAAGCAGCTCGTCACATCGTTCGGAGCCATCTGTCCCAGCATTCATCAGGCTTGCCGGTAGAACGCTGGCGCTGGTTCACAGCCTACCTGGGTGCAGCAGGGTCTGTCCCCCGAGTGGGTGCTGTCAAAGCCCCGGAGGGTGAGGCTAAAATAAGACGAGAAGAAGAAGAATCTGAGACGAGGTGTTCTCCCCGGGCTGAAATTGTTGTGACAGAATCCAGATAAATGTGACGGACATCCTCTCGGAGTAAGCAGCGTTTGACAAAAGTGACGCCGCGCGCTGACAGAGTGATTGATGGCACGCACGGAAAACTAGGCGCAGACTTTCCAGAAGGAAAAGTAAAAAAAAAAAAAAAAGTTTCAGGTCTTGCTGAGAAGATGTCAGGAGTTTACAGATGACATCATCAGAGGAGAGCGATGGCGGGCGTCGGCCTACGTTTATGCCGAGTAAGCAGCAGTCGAGATTACATCACATTAAAACAGGTCGTGAGGGGTGGGGGGGTGCAGGGGTCTCAATGTCACGATGACTGGAAGTAAAGAAAATAACTCACAAATATTTACCATGAATGTCTTCTTACAGACCACACAGTGGATTAGCGGCTAGAACACCTGCCTTACAAAAAGAAGGTCACAGGTTTGAGCCCCAGTGGTTACTCATAGGTTTTCCTCCAGTCTCCTCCCAGAGTCCAAAAAACTAAAATTACGTTTTTGAGTGTGAATGAGAGTGTGAATGGTTGACTGTTTCTATATGTTGCTCTGTGATGGAATGGAGACCTGGAGATCAGTCCAGGACTTTACCTAAGCCCATTACCTCCTCCCCCATGACTTTTTAGAAAATGACGTGGTGGCTTAGTGGTTAAGGAAGCGGACTTTGGTCCGGAAGGTTGGAGGTTCTTTAAATATAATAATGAAACTATTTTTAGGGCAGGCATCATTTCACGAAACCCAGACATTGCGTTATCAGGTTCTATCTAAAGTTCTATCTATCTTTATCGGACATCCATTATATTCCTCCACATTCCTTGTGTCCATGTCCAGGCTGCTGTGGTGCAGGGCCTCTGTCCTTCCACAGGACTCATTGACTGAGCCCATTTACCAAACCCTCCAGTGAACGCAGCATCGATCTCCGTTGAGCCCATTTGCCAAACTCTCCAGTGAACGCAGCATCGATCTCCGTGGAAGGAAAAGAAGATTCCCGTGGCCCATCACCTTCAAAATCCTAGAAAAGCAATTTTCCATAAATAACTTCTCCTTGCATGGAACGCTGTGAACACACAGAGTCTTCAGGCAGTGATCAGTTTGCATCGTGTCAGATCAATATTAGAATCCGTGGAGTCAGAGGGGGACGGGGGGGGGGGGGGGGGTAAAAGTAAAAGGCTCATGTTTGAATCGATACCAGCAAAACTGGGCGAGGCGGTGATCTGTCTGACACTGGGAAACTGTCAGTACGTTCACTGGAGCTTCAAAACAGGCAACAGCTATGGAGGACGGAGAACACTAACGTCTGAAAAGTAGGGCTAGCGATCGATATAAATAAGAACGCAGGGTTAAAAGCTTAGCCGTCCAAGGCTAACCTGCGATCAATCCCCAAATACTGAGACTTTTTAAGTTCAGAAACTCGTGTCAAAGGGTATTTGTTAAGTCAGTAATGTCCAAAATGTGTTAGCTTTATGCTAATAAGGTTTACATCTAAGGCAAACATCCAAACTAACGACTAATATGCTCCAGATAATTCTCAGAAAAACCATCAGATACGTCGCATACCTGAAGAATATTGTATCATGTTGGGGAAAAACTTCCCATGAGCTAACTAACAGCTAACTAACAGCTAACTAACAGCTAACTAACAGCTAACTAACAGCTAACTAACAGCTAACTTGCTAATAGCTACCATTCCAGTTGTATACAGCCAGATTTTTTGCAACCCAGTGGTTCCCAAAGTGGGGGGTGGGACCTACCAAATAAGCTGTGGAGCTAATGCTTAATCCTGAACACAGTTTTTTTGTCAATTTTTTCATCGAACTTTGAACTGCCTAGCGGGACAGTTTTGGTCCAGGGCCATATGTTTGACACCGCGTTTCAAATTCAGTTTAGCAGAGTCTTAAAGACACAACTACGGATGTGTCGATTTATTTTTAGCAGGAACAACTGCGGGGAAAAGACAGGAATTGAACTTGTGACCTTCTCCCAGTAAGGCAAGAGCACAAACTACATTTCCATCATGTGGCCCACCGTTCAGCTTTCATAGGCTGATGACACTTTATCTCCAGGAGGAGACTGAAGTGACAGGTTCAGTGGAGACATGTCGTGATCACTTCCTGTCTGTGTCGCTCGCTGTCTCCCAGGTAACGGCTACATCGAGGGCAAGGAGCTGGAGAACTTCTTCAGGGAGCTGGAAGTTGCCCGGAGAGGAGCAGGAGTGGTAAGTCCAGGGGTGGGGAGTGGAGGGGGGGTTTGATAGTCCAGTGTGTTCAACATAGGGATAGAGACTCCTTTTGTTGACACTCCTGTAGTAAGGCTGGTGTTTAAAGGAACAGGCGTCAAGAGTAGGGATGTCCGATATTAACTTTTTCCCGATGTCTGTTATCTGTTATCTGTTATCTGCCCAAACACTTAATTTCCAAAGTGAGACAGACGGATTTAAGCTAACGAGGCTAAATAAGTAAAAGACCATAAGTCTAGACTTTTTTTTTTAGGTTTTTTTAAAGACGTCCTTAGTTGCAGTTTCGGCCCGAACGTTGTTTTCGATATATTGTTGATATAAAAAAAACCTACAAATTGTCTTATTCACTCGAAATGAAACTTTTTAACAACCACTAGAGCCCCCTACTGGTGGTTCGTGATTACTTTTGGTTTTGTTTCTTCTTTAAAATCAAGAAAAGTAAATCGATCGTGAGCGGACAGGTTGTGTTCGTATCGTCGTGACTCTTTTTTTTCTTCTCCAGGATCCTTCCAACCCCACATTCAGAGAAAAGATGAAGGAGTTCATGCAGAAGTTTGACAAGAACAAAGACGGACGAATTGAGATGTCAGAGGTAATTTGTTCCAACTTGAAACGTCGTTTTTGGACACAGTGTGATTTCACATTCTTGATGAGGAGTTTATTATCACGTTCATTTACTGTGATTGGTCTCACTCCGGCATAACGGCCACAAATGAGTGAAATCAACTCGGCTCTGGAATCTCACTCTGTCATTTTATGCGAATTTACTCTCATTTACTTTCAGGCCGACAGTAATTGCCCGTCTTCAAAGCAACTGCGAGGCTGGTGTTGTAATGTGTAGCTACAATCCATCATTAAAGTCAGTGGAGATCAGTCTCTGACTCTCCCCCCACCCCCCCCCCCCCCCGAAAGAAGAAAAGTTTTTCTGCCCTGAAAGGAGGGTGAGAAAAAGTTGCAGAAAGACTAGTGTAGAGCTGCAGGATTACAGTTCCGCCGCGGCGGTCAATCCTCCTATCACCTGCATCAATGCAGCCTTCATGGCCGTCTCCACGGAGCATCATTTTGGGATGTTGCTCTGCCTGGATCTTTACTTATTTTCCAGATTGAGTTCTGAAAGAGATGCGAGGAGAGAGAAAACTCCTGCAACATCAATAATCCAGCAGCATTCTGGGAAAAAAAAGAAGACTTTTAGCTCTAGTGATGGAGATGAAAATCCAATTTTAAGGTTTTGTCTGAGCGTCGACAAACATTTTTGTTTTCCCACAGTGTTTTCCCCGGCGTAGCCTCGTCTCCGAGGTTACGTCTCTGTTGTCGTCGTCTGATTTGCTCTTTTTGAAGTTTGGCAGCGCAGAACGTCTGCACCCGTTCAGTCCTAACGTTTCATCTCTCCACCGTCTTCCATTTTCTCATTTTGCTGTCATTTCTCTCTGCCTCCAGCTGGCCCAGATTCTCCCGACTGAAGAGAACTTCTTGCTGTGCTTCAGACAGTTTGTCAGCTCCAGCGCTGAGTTTATGGCGGTAAGTCTGTGTGTGTGAATGAACGGACCTGTGTGTGTGTGTTTGTTTTGTTGTTTCTTTACGGCGGCGGCGGCGGCGGCGGCGGCCCTCCCGCTCTCCCCCTAACTACCTGTCATCTGATGAGTTCTCTGCGGTACTTATTTTGGGACTTATTTTGGTGTGAAAGCGTCATGTTGGCTGTGAAGTGCCATTAGTGAAGACGGGCTGGTTGTAACGAACCGTTCATTAGAGTCAGGAGTCAGTCAGGCGTGCAGCGCTGACAGGTCGACTGCTCCCCTCTCCACACCAAGGTGTGTTTCCCTGCCTGTAGCTGAAAGTCTTCTAATTAATGAAAAAAAAAACAACAGTTTTCACGTCAGTGTTGGAGGCAGATGTCGACCAGGACAGGGGTTTCGAACACGGTCAAGTTCACCTCCGACCGTCTGAAGTTGCCACCGTGTGATGGGGTCTGGAACTGACTGTAAATGTCCAACCAGGCTACCGTAGATGGTCTAGTTCTCGTATCTGTAGCCATATCGCACATGTGTGTTTCAAGCGTTAGCTAACAGCATACAAGACACTTAAAATTAAAACCGGTTTTAACTGGAGGACTGCATAGTTGTAAGACACAATTATTAAATTATTTTTAAGCTCCCATGGGCCACACAAATGGTTTTAACTGGAAGACTGCATAGTTGTAAATCCATTACATAATAATAAATATTTCTGCAATTGAATATTATTTATTCAAATTACATATTGTTGATTTTTGTGAGCCACATTTGGCCCCCGGGCCTTGAGTTTGACACATGTCGCCTAGAATAACTCTTAGTTAGTATGTTAGAGTTGACTTTAGCCACTACTTCCTTACGTCATTGAGTGAAAACAATAATAAAAAGTTACGAAATTACAATATGGCAACAACAGAGTAATTAAGAAGACATAGCTAATCGCTAATAATGACTTTTCCCTCCGAAACTCATTTTTAATCTTAACAACAATCCGTCTAAACCTTTTTCTCGCCACATAAGATTATTCTCACAAATATACGTACGTTTTGTAGTAGAGTTGAGGCTGTATTCTTATATCATTTTATTTTTGTGTCCCCTGATACTGCGCGGTACTTAATTCTACTTTCTGAAGGCCAAAGTACAAAAATAAAAACCAATCCTGGATCTGTCCCAGAATGAAATGGGATCTCTGTGAGGTAATGCCTCACACTTCCACCGACTTTTATGGAAATTGGCAAAAAAAAAAAAAAAAAGCGTTTGTGAGTAATATGCGGAAAAAACAAGCGGCAGTAAAAACATAAAAGCCACGATGATGGAAGGTGGAGGCTGCAGAAATTAATGAAAATAAAAATCAACCGAAATCGAACATCAGCCTCAGAGCAGGCAAATCACTGAAGCTTAGCAGGACACGGCCACGAAAACAAGAACTTTTGTTTCCATTTGTATGTAAATACAAATGTAAAAAACAAACAAACAAAAAAAAAACCAAACGCTTGTTTAAAAAACTACTTTATATGAAAATTCAGCAGTGTAGCATAAACAGGGCTGGTGCTGCTGCCGAGGATGAATAATGAATGAAAGCCAGAGGAGGAAAAAGCTCTTTGCAAGAACGACAAGATTTGTTCAGAAAGGTGGAGAAGAAAGAAAAAAAAAACATCATTTATCATAGAAAAGATAAGAAAAGGACAGATTTCATGTTCGATCTGAAGCCGCTGAGAAGGACCGAGTCAATTAGAGACCGATTACATGTGGGGAAGGAAGGGGGCGCCCTGGTCTCCTGCAGCAAACAGAGAAGGAATAATGAAAGGAGAGACAGAGGATGGATGAAGGAGGAGGAGGAGGAGGAGGAGGTGAAGAGCGAAAGGGCAAACGAGAGAAAGCAGGAACAGAGAGGATGTAATTGAAATGTCGATGGGAAGTTGAGAGGCAGAGTTTGAGAAGCGAAAGGCAGAGAGGAGGATTAATCAGTCTTTGCTGAAGGATGTGTAGTGGAGGAGAAAGAAGAGAAGGAGGAGGAGGAGGGTGGAGGAGAGTGAGGAGGGTGGAGGGGATTTTAAAGGGGTTAGAATGAGGAAGCTGAAGCTTCTATTTTCAGAGTCATATATAATAGATCCAGTTCTGTAGCAGCGCAGCTCCTTTTTCTGTAGAGCCCAGAGGAGGAGGAGGAGAAAAAGGAGGAGGGTGGAGGAGGTTATTGTCCCTGAGCCTGCAGGAGATAAGGAGATCTTTTTTGGACTGGACAGCTGCTGGATTTAAACATTCATTACAACGACTGCTCTCTCTCCCTCTGCTCTGTCGCCCCCTGGCTGTGGGTCCATGGGATTCTACAGAAATGGTGGTTCGGTCCGTTATGTTACGGACACAGAAAAACAAACCCACTGTTGTCTCTCCTTCCTTTCAGGCCTGGAGGCGATATGACACAGACCGCAGCGGCTACATTGAAGCCAATGAACTGAAGGTACGTAGTGGACCTCAGGTTGAAGGGTACGAGGCTGAGTCAAAAAGTTCTCAGACAGATGCCATGATGAATTGCAAAGAGGAGGAAACACCACCGAAGAAGAGTTCAAAGTACAAGTGGTCTATAAATTCACCCTTTACTACAAAGAATATCCTGCCATTTTGGAATCCAGGACCAACAGAGCTTCATAACATCAGAGTTTCACGACATGAAGTAAAACAGCTTTAATGGAGGACACGTAGAGAAATCACTTTCATATTTCCATTAATATAGATCAGTGTTTCCCAAACGTTCTTTCTGGAGACCCATATTTTATAAGTCACAAACCTCCGTGACCCAAGTCAATAGACATTATTCGTAAAATCCTGGGAAACATGATGCTAGACGACCCCCCAAAAAATAATCGACCCATCTGAAGGTCGCGACCCAGTCTTTGGAAAACAATGATATAGAGTGCTTCAATTTGTCTGAGAACTTTTTGACTAAGCACAGCTCTCAGGGTCCACGGCATGCTCCTCGTCTTTACTAGAGAACATTCTAGACTTTAATTTTTTTCTTGTTATCATTTCCCTGTCTTATTTCTACTTTGCTCTTTTTGTGTTTTTGCTTTTTTTTTCTGCGTCTTTTTCCCTGTTCTTTTCTCGACCATCTTCACTCATGAACCGACAGAGCAGCAGTTCCAAAGAGTAGCAGAAAATCTTAAAAAAAGACAATCTGTCATTTATCATTTGAACCACTTTCTCTGTCTCTTCTTTTGGTGACGTCATCTCACTGAGCACACATTAAAAACAGGATCATTACGTTTTGTCTGTTTTTCACACCAACCATCCACGAGATTTACCAGATACATGTGTTGTTTTGAAAATGTCACATAAGGACTTTAACAATTATGGTAATTCATCTGGTGACCCAAAAAGATTCATCTGTGACCCATCTGTGGGTCCAGAGCCAGTCTGAGCCAACCACTGACATGAAGGAAAATGTTCTTCACTGGGGAGATGAGAGCGCTAACATGGTCAGTGACTGTGAACAGGCACAAACCAGGTTGTTATGGAATCGGATTTCTTCTGGATGAGCGGCTGCAGATGAGATTCTCAGCTGTGGTTCCCGTAAAGGAGCTTAGATGACGACTGAGTTTAGACCAGAGTCTGGAGCTGAGTCTAGACCAGGGTCTGGTCCAGAGTCTGGTCCAGAGTCTGTGTGGGCCTCGTTTTTATCGATCTCGTTTTTATCGATTGTCTATAGCTAACGTTTAGCTATTTCTTCACTCAGTCCTGGCCACTTTTAACGATGCTAACTTGTGTAAAACAGGAGGACTTAAATGTTAGCAAGTGGCCACTTTTTTTTTAACGACCCTAAAAACTAGCATAAAACAGGAGGACTTAAATGTTAGCAAAAACAAAACAAAAGAAGAAGTGAAATAGTTGAACGGTTAGCATAAACACAGGCTGCATCAAGAGTACCAAAGCTAGCAGCTAAAGGTTAGCCCTGTGTAAAAACACTTTATATTTGATTCACGAAACAGAAACTACGACCCGGTGACTAAGAGCGAAGGCGAGTGAAATTTTGTTTTGTGTGAGACAGGATCTTAATGAAAAGCCACTTCAGCTCTACAGTAAACTCTGACCACGTGACTCCTCTCCTTCTCTGACACTTCCTTTCCTCCTCTCCTTCCTCCTCACTCCTCTGTGTGTCTCCGTCCTCAGGGCTTTCTGTCAGACCTGCTGCAGAAGGCCAACAGACACTACGACGACCAGAAGCTGCAGGAGTACACACAGACCATCGTAAGAGCCCGCCGCCGCACACTCACCGCTGCCGGAGTTTAACTGTCAACAACAAATCACAGCTTTTTACGGTGTTTTCATTTTCATCCCATCACATAAAAACCCGGCAGCTCCTAAACCTCAACACCAGCCCTGAGACCAGACCTCATCTCCAGGAAGTCGTACTTAAAATACGTAAAATAACACCGCCGTAAACAACCGAGTCAGCGCAAGACCACGCTGCTGTAAAATAAGGAAAAAGTTTTCCACAACTTTAATTAATGCAGTATACAAGGAGACAGACCTCCATGGAACTGAGCGTGTACTTGAAGTACACTAGTACTTCACTAGTAGTGTAGTATCTATCTGGGAAAATAGTGGGGACATATTGTCCTCGTGGGGACAGTTTCCTGGTGAGAGGATATTCACATTTGTATGAGTTTAAGGTCTGGGGAAAGGTTGTAGGTTCACAACCTATGGCTCGCGGGTCACATACAGCTCTTCAACCCCCATGTTTCAGAATGGATTAAATTCAGTCTGACTTTTCCATCAAAAACATAAATCTGACAAATACATCCAGAATCATTACTCTGACACAGCAGCGCCCCCTGCTGCCACTGACCCATCTGTGTTAGTGTTTTAGCAGAAATCAATTTTTTCAGGCCAAGTTTATACGTTTATGTTACATTTAATTTGTAATTTAATCAGCTTGTTGGCAACAAAACAACATAGTGTCGCTGTCCTCTTTAACCTAATGAGACATTCACGCCAAAAGCGATAGAGGCGTAAAAAAATCTTGTAAAACCTGTGTCGCGTTCATGCATGATCATTTTTGAATCATTGCCTCATTTGCTTGTCATGTCCCCTAAAAAAAAATGACGTGTGGTGAAATTATTTTCCGCTAATTTTGGTGTGTGGTGAAATTATTTTCCGCTAATTTCTCATCCTGCTTCTCAATTTACGACTATCGCTTTTGATGTGAACGCCCCCATAATTCAGTAGTGACATATTTAGCAGCGGAACAGTTAGCTGAACCAATTTCCAAAATTTGGTACACGTGGTCTAACAGGAAACAACTGTAATGCTCTATAATTATGTGAGATGACAACGACGTTTAAAACATAACACAGTGATGGGTCAGAGAACACACTAAGGTGCTCACAAAACACCAAAACCTGTATGTGTGTGTGTGTGTGTGGACCTGGCTGATGGTGGCAGCATGTAGTAATCCGTGCAGCCGCTGCTGAGTGATGTTCGACCATCATTTCCTGCTGGTGGTGTGTTAACAGCCCAGATGTGCTAACATCTGCCTCCCCCTGGAGGCTGCAGCGTTGACCTGACCTGATTCACTCCAGCAACTTCCTGGACACAATCAGAGACAGACGTGGTCATTTTTCAATAATAAAATTCATCTTTTAATTCATTATTTAAATGAATAAACTTGGTTAAATAATTATATTATCAGAGAAGTCAGTGATCATTCTACTATCTTTAACAATTTATTGGAGTTCTTTTTAATTAATTAAACCCTAATTATTGCTCTTCGTTGCTTCAGAGTAACGTTATAATTAAAGTCATACATAAATGGAATCAGGACCAAAAAATATTTTATTGATAAAGTGAATGTTAATATACAAAAAAAAAGTTCAAATAAACAACTACATCACATGAGGAATCATCAGCAGGACAGCCGTGTTCAAAATCTGGTTTAGGGCCCTATTGGAGCACGTGGGCAGAATATTTATTGGGTGTTTCTATAAAATAAAATTGAGGTTATTTTACCTCATGTTGATTTATTGTGCAATTTTTTATTAGTTATCGAAACTTTAGCGAATTTATGTGGCAACATTTGTTCTCCTTGGCTAACGTTTTGCAATGTCTGGCATTTTTGGTTTAACTTCTATACAAATTTTAGCAAATTTATTTGGTGACTTTTGTTCTCCTTGGCTAACATTTAGCAATGTCTGGCATTTTTGGTTTAACTTATAATTTTTTTTTCTTTAGCTTTTTAGCAAATTCTGGCTTAGTTTTTTCAAAGTAATTTTCCAATGATAATACTAATATAATTTTACAAATCTTGACATCCTTCAAAAAAGTTCCACTAACTATGGCATATTTTTAATTGAACACGGTCATTTTTCAATAAACAATGAAAAGAAGGTTTTTTTTTTCTTTTAATTAATTTTATATTGTCACGCAACATGACAGACAAGCAACTCGCTCTGCGGTGCTTTCATTATTTATTTTTTTTCTGTCTCTGTTCTGCTGCCACTTTGTAGCTCAGGATGTTTGATCTGAACGGAGATGGGAAGCTGGGCCTGTCGGAGATGGCGAGGTAATGTGCAATTGTACTTCGTCTCCTCTGTTCGCAATATAAATGTTGAAGCGCGACGGCCGCTGATGGATTTGAATAATTTAGCAGCCGACTGCGTTTGCTAATGAAGTCTCTCTGTGTGCTTCAGGCTTCTCCCTGTTCAGGAGAACTTCTTACTCAAGTTCCAGGTACGGAACAAACACAGAACAGCTTGTTTGCACGGACAATTAATGTCGGCGTAATAACTGATACGCTGACGCCGGGCCTTAATTATTGATCATTCTTCAGAGGTGTGACTCAGAGCGAGCGGTTTGAAACGTCCCTCTTGTTTCCTAACAGGGCGTGAAGTTGACCAGTGAGCAGTTCAATGCCATCTTCACGTACTACGACAAGGTGGGTTTCATCACAGACCATGGCCTTTTACAGTATATACCATAATATTCTTTGGGCAGTACAGTGCGAGGATGGTCAGTGCTCTTGCCTTACAACAACAATGTCACCGGTTCAATCCCTTTGTCTTTCTGCCTGTATGAGGTTAACTGGTTACTGTTGATTGACCACAGGTGTGAACGTTGTTTGTCTCCATTATTGACATGATGTGTGATGGACTCTAGCAGGGGTCCTCAACTCCCGGTCCGGGATCAGCTGATATTATTTATGTATGTATATTAATTATGTAATATCTGTAAGAATCATTACCTCAACCACCAGGCCACCACTGCCCCGCTATATCGGTATCGGCTGATATTGGAATCAAATATCAATATCGACATATCGGATATTGGCGAAAAGTTAATATCGGGCATCCCTACTACTTTCAAAGACTTGGATTCAGACTCGTGGAACTTGACCATTAGACTTTCAGTCAGACTTGTCTTAAACTTTTTAACTTAAAATAATAATTCAAAGAAATCATCTTCCGACATAGGAGCCTGGTTCACGCATAGAAATTGAGCCTTTAAGGATACGACATTTGTCTTTACCACAGTCTCTTCTAGTCACCATCAATCAAAAACCCATAGACCACACAGCCATCTGGTTACAAATGTGAAGCCCTGGGAGTCAAATGGAAGTAGCTCTGCTTGGTTCGACTGTAGCTTCATATGAATGGAAGCTGATGACAAATGGAGATCGCTTCTCACTCGATTTATGACACCAATAAAACATTTCCTGCAGAGTTTATGGTGTGGATTGCCGGTTTCAGGTCTTGTTCGACAGAAGATAATGTCAATTTGGTAAATTATGGCCTCCTTCAAAAGGAAAATAGACAATAAAGCATAGCAGGAGACAGCAGCCAGTCAATCTCGCTCACTTGCGGAGGACAGGGTTGAAATGTTCAATCATAGATGAGTCACTGCAGTCCTTTCATGTCCACAAAGCCCCGCCGTTTCTGACCCTGATAATTGTGTTCCAGACGCGGCTGCAGCTGCAGCTACTGAGCTGAGACACGGTGGGCTCCGAGGGATCTCCAAACTTTAAAGGGCCCTGAAATTTTCCTTAAAAAAGTCTGCGGCGCAAGATGAGAGTCGAGCAGACTCCCTGACATCTGACGTCGTTTCTGTCGCTAAAGCGAAAAATAGAAACCTCGGTTGAGTCCAAATATCAGGAACACTTAAGTCCTGCCATATAAACAATGGAGAGTGTTCAGAATAAAGACTGGCAAGACACCGTGCTCTGAAGTCCTCTTGAATCCAGGCCGAGATGAACAGAACATGATTTTCCTCTCAGCTGCCAAACGGAACATTTCCAACAGTTGGGAATTACTTCCTGGCTCCAGATTCCGACTCATAACTCATTAATTAGCCGAGCAGTCAACTTTGCAGCTTTACATCTACTCTGCCCCCCCCACCCACTACTTTGTAGAGCACTGAATGGCAAGTCCTTTTTTAAACCCACGGCCACTGCATTCATCATGAGGGACACTGACCAAAGTTGTGACGTTTGGAGACTGAGGGGTAAAAAACCCAGAGACTTCTACTGGCAGAGACAAAAAAAACAACATTAATGTTAAAATTAAAGTTGAATTTTCTGGATATAAATAGTTCAATGTAGGATTTCGCATGGACTTTAATTCAAACAACAACCAGGTGGGGAAGTGGTAACTGCTCTTTCCTTACAAAAAGCAATATCAGCCAACCAATATTATCTGCCCACTATTAGCATAATTATATCTGTAAGAACTGTTATCGGTTTTAACGCCAATAATGAAAATCCAACAGTTTGGATTTTGTCAAAACGCAAATAATAAAAATCCAACAGTTTGGATTTTGTCAAATACACAGGAATCGCTTGTGGGCTCCCAAGATGTTTATCACAGTTTTGGGGGTAAACGGCTGCACGTATCAGTATCAGTTGATATCGGAATCGAAAATTGGATGATATTGTTATGACATGTATTTACATTATTTAATGTCTTTAATGTTCCGTCAGGATGGGAACGGCTACATCGATGAGCAGGAACTGGACGCTCTGCTACGAGACCTTTACCAGAAAAACAAGAAGGTGAGATGATTGAAAAACCTTCAAATCTGAATGATCCTGGTTTCACACTCGTTGACCTCTGCTGTGACCTCTCTAGGAGGAGGACCTGAAGAACCTGACGGGCTACAAGCAGAGCATCATGAGCCTCTCCGACGGTGGGAAGCTCTACCGCGGCGAGCTGGAGATCGTCCTCTGCAGGGAGCCAATCGCCTGACTCCGTCCTACATTCTCCCTCTCGCTCTTTCTCTCTCGTTGCATAACTTTGTTTATTCTGCCTGAGTCCGCTGTCCTGAAACCACGCCCACTTCCAGCTGCCTGGCAGTGTTTACCAGGTGCATGTGCCTGACACTCCCTGCCTGCCTGTCTTCCTTCCTCCCTTCTTTCCTTCCTTCCTTCCTTCCTCCATCATTTTTCCCCAAATCGACGCGCTTCAGTCCCCCATGGCCAGAATAAGTGATGAAACCAAAACAACACCTCTTCCCTAAAGTCCCCGTTTTCTGCAGCTCTACCTGAAATCCTAGACATTTGTCTCCTCAGCTCTTCCACACACGCTGCTCTGACCTCACCTCTGTCTCAGCCGTCCATGCTGTGCCTGACCAAAAGTCCAAACTCCACAGAGAAGACCTGTTGTTGACCTAATGGTCCCACGCCCCTGAACCTCCACCCTCAGCCTCATCGACGCGCTTCAGTCCCCCATGGCTTTGTCAACTTTGCTTTAGATTTAATATATGAAGGATAGTCTAACCAAACTACAGACAGCTCTATATACATTTATGGGATTTAAAGTTTGTGATGGAACTTATGTGTCTTTTTTTTCCACTCATTTTTAATGTTTGTGTTTGGCTGATACTGTCAAGTGGAAAAGATTAATAAAATGTCTTAAGATAAAAGAGTCTTGTGGAACTTCATGACTTTTTGTATTTTAAAGCATCACCTCCTTCACTCCTGTTTTGTTTTCAGTGCTGTGTCATCCTCGGCAGCTTTGACCTCAGGTCTCTCAGCTGCTGTCAGTGCATTAGCATAACAACCATTAACAAAATGTGCAGGTTGGACAAGAGCAGCACAGCGTCCTACATCCTGCAGATCAGTGAGACCCTTAGGAAACAAAAGGGTCAAACAAGTTAATGCAAGATGCCTGACAGGAACGAGTCAGTGCTGAAAACGAATGAGTAGCAATGGTCCCGCGAAGGCATCGCACAACATGGACCATATTAAAAGACCTGGCGTCAATTATTGGGACATAATAAAAGCAAAAGCTGTGCAAGAAGACAAAAGAAAAAGGTTATCTTCTACAGTGTCTGTGCTGCTTTTAGAAGGCCCTCGGCCCTCGCTCAACGATTGGTGGATTGGCTCTAACCCCCAGGATCTGGATATGGAAAAGTTTTTAAAAAATGACATTATCCTTACAGAAAATAGTTCTTTTTTTACTTCTTCTTTCCAGAGATGGAAGATTTGGATTTAACTGGAGTGGTGGAATTGGTCAGGAATAAATAAATGACAAACCACAAAGTATGAGATCATAACTCAGGGGGTAGCCTTTTTTATGGCAACACCTCTGCTCTGCAGAAAACATTTCATTTTGAAATTAGATATTATAAAAACCAATCCTTTAAAAAGATCTGGAATCGTTTCATCTTCCCTTGGAATCTTTCGCCTTTTCCTGTGCTGAGCTGTTCTTCCTAAGATGTTGAAACGGACAAGGAATTTCTACCAGAACTTCCCTAATTGAGTTGACATGCTTTTAAAGCAATCTGAATAATACAGCAGCCGGCGCACAAACTCCCATCGCAGCGAGGCGCTGGTGCAAAGCCATACACATTAATTAATCAGCAGCACTTAAATCTTTATATGTTATGCAACTGCACAAGCACAGCATATATCACCGAGGCGGAGCCAAGTAGACGGAGCAGTTCTGCTTCATGAGCTTTGTCCAGGACACGGTGGCCGCATGTACGGAAAACACAGGTAGGTCACAGATGAGGAATGTGCTAAACTGTGTCAAGAACACGGAAAAAAAATGATTTTTTAAAAGGCAAACTTTTGTTTGCAGTCCAAATGTAGACCGCGGGGCGCCAATTCAGGGTCACTGATGGGTAGTTTCAAAAATGTCATTGCAAACATTTGGAGTTTATATTGTATATTTACCAAATGAAAATGAATACAAACGCTGTATCTAAGAATGCAATATTAGCATAATTGTGTAATATCTGTAATAATTGTTATTGGTTTTTCCTTTGATAATGACCAAATGATGTGTGGCCAAAAAATAGTTTTGCGGAATAATAATCAGGGGATTGTATGGAGAATGCTGGTGCCAGCAACTGAACAGATAAATAAATAAATATTACTAGGCCTATATATATATTGGACAATTTTGAAAAAGTGTTTGGACAATATTGGCATATCGGATATCCCAACTGTATCTTAGCTAATCAATAATCGTACTACCGTCCAAATCACCATTACAGATTGATTGTTTCTCACTCAGTTATAAAAGCCATACATCATCCCTGTTAAAACTCTACCATCTGCTTTCTGATTCTTCTCTTCAAACAACCTGAGCTTTAATTACAGTTTGAGTTGGTGCGTATGCAGATGATTCAGCTGTTCTCGGTCCATCAAACATAGGGAGCTCTTTGAAACAACGCTCGGCGAAAGAAAGCGAGTGGATTTCTTACGAGTGCACATCATTATAAAAAATGAGCCACACGTAGATTTTCCAAAAGAGGTTCATCCAATTAAACATTTCTGCTGAGGAGGCAGCAGAGCAGAGATTGGACAGCTGTAGATACGTCCGTGTCCTCGCTCTGACAAAATCTCGTCCAAACACCTCAAGAAGAAAGGCAAATGTAATCCCTGTGTTTTTTGTCGGCCTCAGTTCTGCGCTAACGTCACTCAGGAAACATCTCTCCGGCTGCAGTTTTCTCACGGAAAACCTTCTGTGTCACAGTTGGGGGGGGTGAGGGTGAGTTAGAAGTATCACACAAGAGAGACAGAAGGATAATCTCCAGACCTTGAATGCAGCACCTCCTGGAGCACTGCACTCTGCAGCCATCTGGGATTTTACATTAAATATTAGTCACTTCAAACAGATGCAGGGTGAACTTTGTTCTACGGCTCTATATTTAGCTTGGCGTGAGGAGAGACGTGACAAACTTGAGGGAAAACACACATCCCAGTGAGATAACTCTTGTTTAATCCACGCACCAACGACACCTCAGCAATTTTAAAAACATATAAGCTGCTGTTTATCACAGAACTACATAACATTACACAGCAACAGCCGACAGCTTCACTTTTGGACAAACTTTTTGGATGGGTGCTTAAAATAGGTTTTGACGATTTATGAAGTTTTTTGAGATATTTAATTGTTATATATTTTTACAAGAATGGGTCTGGGTCTTGGAGGTGCGTGGGCCAATTTATTTTATATATATACATATATATTGTTTATTTACATATACGTCCTTGATAACAACTGCGTGTTCATAGGTCATGTACACAACACCTTCATGATACAGCCTGGGGGGGGAGCTCTACACACATCTGGGCATGTGCTCAGACCAACAGTAAATGTACAAATACACAAACACAGATTTGACACGAGTCCTAAATGTTAAATAGACATTAGTGTACTCTGTACTGCCTCCAGTGGAAGAATTGGATGTAGACAAAGAAGTAATTGGTAGAGAATTGGTGAAAATTACTTTTATTTTAAACGAGACAATGAAACACATGAGAAATGAATTATTAACTCAATATCCCAGTGTCTGGTAAAGTCAACGACTGTAGGTACTGTATCATGTGATATTAACATCATCATAATGCACATCATAATCAAAGAGACTCCCCTTTTGGAATTGAGTGGTATCATTTATTTAATATATTCAGGTCAAGCCACTTTGCATGCTTTTCATTTTCGCTTCAACAACAACTGAGGTCGAGCAGATTCAGCAGATTAAACGCATCACTTATTAAACACAACTTAAACACAGCAACATCACACGAGGACCAACATTCAGGATGGAACCATCGCCACGAGGCATTTCTGCATCTAAATATGGGAACCTATTGATTATTTCATAGTGCTTCCTTTACAGCACATTTCTACAGGATCCTCTTTCATATGTTCTTCCGGGATCACGGAAGTATTGGCCTGGAATTAACATTAACGCCCACTGGGACACGGCTCTGACACGACAGAGATCAGTACCAGTCTTCAAACGTTTTCCCAGGGCTTTTGTGATTTGATGTAGTTAGACAGAGGCACAAGGAGTTTAACCATCAACCAATATACTCATCAAATCCATATTTTGCCAAAGTCTGTGTAGGATATTGATATAATTCCAGCAGAAACATTTCCCAGGATGTTTACATACAGTGTGTAAACTTATCGCACTCTTACACCAAAACATAAACATAGAAAATTTGTTAAGTTAAACTGCTGTTGCTGCCTCTTTGCTAGGTCTAAATGTAGTACTTTGGTGTCAAAGATCCTCCATTCAGATCCCCTCAAAGGATGAAAACTTAAAATGTACCTGTGAGCAAAAAATGTTAAATATATCTGTGGGCTTTGGTACAAAAAATAAGCTTTTTAGACAATTGGGTTTTCACTAAGGGAGTGCTGTTTTACATCAGGCCAAACTTTGGTTTCCAGTGCCTGCAGTCAGTGCTTAATGTGTGCCAGTGTATTTCAAGAAAAACATGAACATCTCAAGTATCTCTTGAAACCAGTACCTTTGCTGTAAGTGTCTCTGCCTTCACTTTTAAGCTCCACTCTGTGCTGTAAGGATTAAAAAATAAACGTAACTCTTCACCAGCTTTACATTTGCACAGTCAGCGCAGGCTTTTATCTAAAGCAGAGTAAATATTTTTCAGCTCTGTTTGATCATCTAAGGCGTCGCTTGGACCCTGAGGCAGGTGTTTTAAAATATGCCAGTGAAATCTGGAGGACGTGGACTGTCACCGCACCACGTTGCTGTTTTATTTAGACACAGCATTGTGTACCTATCGAGGGAAACACAGTATATCTACTGTACAGCTACGGAAAGATGACATTTCCTACTGTGGCCTCTGACTTCTACAAAAACAGAACTAATCTCAATATTGACCATTTGAGTTGATGTCTAAATTACTTTAGATATTTGCAAGAAAAAAAAACTTTAAAAAATATAAGGTAAGTCTTCTAGTTTAGGGCTCAGACTTGTTGAAATGTACAGCCTTGTCCATCGTCTGAGGTCAGCAGGTCAGAGGCTGCTGTGGTTCTAAGATCGTCATTTACTACTATTTCTTGACTGGCCAAATGTCCAGGGTCTAACCTCGACCCCAACACCCACCCCTACTGACTGCAGGGAATGGCTCCAGCTCCATTACAACGATGGATAGATGGATAGAACACACTACCTTTCTCTTCATGCCTCCAACCTGTTTAACATTTTAAAACCAAATCAAACCTACACCTATGTACTCTTCTAATAGTAGTTTTTCTAACATATAATTGAGTCACATTGGCATGTTGATGAGTATTGCCCCGATGTTGAAAATCCCTTAACCACATCAGTAGTAATGTTTGTGTGTGTGTGTGTGTGTGTGTGTGCTGTAATAAGCAATCAACAGTTTGTCCAATTTCCTGTAGAGACAATACTGCAATAATGTGTATGCTGAGAAAAGCCATTTGACTGCCTCCAGCTTCAGACGCTGCAGCGCTGCACCACTCATTGTACAACGACCAACTCATCATTTGCACAGTGCACGCTGCGCCAACATAATGTGTCTGAAAAGGGAAGAGCGAAAGCCAAAATCCAAATGAGATGACCTGGAGGAGACACCCAGGCATATCTGCTGCTCCCAAGCACCGGGGGCTTTGAGAAAAACCTGGGCTCATGCAGGAAGCTGCCAGAGAAACCATCTGTGTGCTGACTGCATAAGCTCCATCAGCTGTGCTGTCAGCCTTATCTCTGCTCCGTCTCCATCTCAGCCTCAGCACATTTGCAAACTAACAGTGTGTACCAGGAAACAATGGACCACCTCATTCATTAAAGTCAAACCATCGGAGCACAAATACTGAATGGATGAGGAAAGCCGGCTCTGACAGGGCGATAATGACACATAATTATAAGTACATTCATCTCAATATTAAACCTGATTTACAAACATTAGACCTGCTCGACAAGGCTTGGAAAATCAGTTAAGATTTAAATTGAATTTGTTTTAAAATTTGAATAGTCACTGCACCAGTGTTTCCCAAACTATTAACTCACATATTTCACATATCCCTTATTTGTTATTCATTTACAGCACAACTCTATTTTAAAGTGTGCTTTCTTTAGGAATCGAACCCAGGACCCTCTGCTTGTAAGATCTTCTGTTATTTTATTTTATAATCTGACAAATATATACAATATAAATAAATAAATAACAATATTAATAATGAATCATTATATATATAAATAAGTTCTTCATTTACTGGTTAAATTCAAAATTCAATTTGACTCCATCACTAAAAGGTGGGACAATACTGCCATCTAGCGGCTCTTTCTTTTTCTCTATAGTTTCTTCCATGCCTTGCAGCATTTATTGTGTTAATTTTTTCCCTCAGTCAATCAAGAAACTACTTTACCTTTGCCTTTAACTACTTTACATTACTCTGAGCTTCAGACTCATAAGGAGCAAAAATAAATTTCCGAAACATTTCCTTATTCTTGAAAGGCCAGGACACAATGCTGTTACATTTGCTCTTTTCTTCCGCTGTCCTTGCTGTCAGCAGTCAGTCATGTTAAAACAAAAGGAGACCAGACTGCAGATACGGTGGTGTTGAAAAGCCTTCAGGACGCAGACGGCACAGAGTCACGTCAGCTGAGAATTATCTCTGTCATTTTACTAGGTCTGTACGCACAGCTGCTGCTTGGTTACTGCTCAGTGATAAAGCTGAGCTGACACAGACCTGGGAACTGACTTCTATATATATAACACAATTATATTGTGATTAATTATCATCACAATTTAATGTGATTAATCCATTTAAAAATGTTATTACTTCCGAGTTCTAAAAACCTATTTCAAGAATGTCAAAAGTCAGCGACCACTGAATTGCTTCTTAAATATTGCTATATGTGCTATTTTTTTATTCTACCTGTATTCCATGTATTGCCTACTTTTTGCTACATGACTGAAGTGGGGGTTTTAATTAAAACTCAAACCTGCCTCAGGTAGGGAGGAAGGCAGTGAAAATGTCAGGCCCGTAGATCCCTTTAAATGTCATGTCAGGCTGTGGTTACTGCACCTGCCACATATCAAACAAACACACAGTGATGTTTTGGCTCAACAGGAATTTAATCTCCTTGTTTTTTTCTGAATCCAGTCGTTGGAATAGCAAAGAAGCTTTGCGGTTAATGTGCCAAAGTAAAGGCCCAACCTGGGATGAGGACATGTGATGTCAAACACTATTACCATCTATCAAACCAGTTTGTCCTGAATAGCATCCAGTGAAGTCACATGCATCGTGCATGAAGGTGTGTGTGTGAAATGTGCAAAAGAGTGAGAAGATAACAGAGCAGATAAGGGCTGCTAATGTGTTGCTGCTGCTGCTGTGGACCAGGTCTCACTGCTTGGACTTTCTATCACCAGCAGAAACAGACGCAGGAGGAGGATGAGCTGAATTATCATTTACAGGTTAGTTTTATTATGTATTATTTCAACAGGGAACAGAAAGAAATATGTTCACCTTGTTTAAAACAGACTTTCCTGTTCCTTGGCAACACAAGTACTTCTTTTTATCCTGTGTATTCTTTAATTTCCTGAAGGGAAATCCATAGGGATTTCTATAAAAAAAAACATGACCAATTATTATTGATTGTTCAAAATGTCCTGAGTTGTGATGTCAGATATTAACTTTTTGCAGATGTCCAATATGCACATATTGTCCACACATTTAATTTCCGATACCGATATCAACTGATACCAATATAGTGGGGCAGTGGGGGCCTGGTGGTTAAAGAAGTGAAGTGCTGCCTGCTGACTAAAGTGATGGGTTAAACAATGGTCCTCACTATTTTCTGCCATGCTCCCCCATCCCCTAATGGGCCAGAACCTTACCTGTTGTTCATTCTTGCTTTTCCTCCTGGACCTGACAGGCTCTCAACGTTCTTCTTCTTCTTCTTCCAGTATTGCAGTTGTGTGAAAACAACCACATGATCGTCGTAATGGAATCCCACTCTCCATTAGAGCTTCTTTCAGCTCAGCTGAAGATACTGGTCTCTGATACAGTCAAATACACCCTCCTTGGCCTCTCTGTCAGCCTACTCTTGCTGGCTCTGGGGATCCTGTGCTGGCAGACCATTAGGTACTGCAAGCAAACCAAGAATAACAGAGGTACTCGTCAAACAAGAGGTGAGTGTTGAATTACTGTTGGTCAATGACATGTCTGACTAACAGTGTAATAAACAAATTAACTCCTGTCTGCTTCTGATTCCAGTAAACAGTCTGTTGTTGTACACAGATGAAAGGCCGTCAATGGCAGTGTTGTACTCCAGACCTCCACATACCAAGGTAAGCAAATTTTAAGATGGAAAATCCAGAAACTTTGAAAAGAAATTTTAGTTCAACCATTAAATTGACTATTTTAACTACTGATTCAGATTAAGGCCACTGAATAAGAGTATTTAAAAATATATCAATAACACACACTGTAGGCAAAACCTTCCCATTAGCACCCCAAGACTAAAGTAAAATTACCTTTTGAGGAATGATGATTTATTTGAATTAACAATGAAATACTGTGATTATGATTACTTATAATCACTATTGTGATTAATCCACAATTCTCCAGTGATTATTCTGATCAAATTCACTTTTTAAAATAGCTGTTTTTCTCTTTCAGTTGATAGTGATAAAGACGCCATTCACATAAAATATTATACATAATATATATAATAGTACGTGTAAAACCGTTAAATGGCAATACAACACAGGATTCAGATCTGTTGGTAACGCTCAAAGAAGAACCCAGGTTACGGATATGAGTAGAGTTAGCTTGACCTAGCCATGCAGAAAGCCCCTCAATAAAATGCTTCGTACCAGCACGTCGCTAAAATAAGCTACATGTGGCTCACCGCTAATATGCCGCCTTGAAGATAAGATCTAGAGTGACTTCACCATTTTGTTTATTCGGTTCAATTTATCGCACTGTTAACTTTTCTCATTTGCTTCTAAAGTGCTAGCGTGTTGCCCGAACAGACATACACACTGGGCGCTAGCGCGCCGACGTCGCAAAGCTAATTTCTTGTTGGTAAAGATGTGCACGAATTTACAGGATTATATTTCCGTAAAATAAACGTTCAAATGTTTACTTATCCCAACTTCAGGGCATAAAAGGAAAGTTACATTTTACTTGCTTGCAAACACCCAATACCATCATAAACAGAAATACAAACTTTGATTGTAGAAGAACATAGAGGACTGTGTGAACGTACATATTTTCAGGTGCTCGTGTTTTCTTCTGGCAAAAGCCGTTATGTACATAAACTACGATTAGCAGTTCAAACAAAGGAGGGTGGAAACTTTAAAGCTCAGAATAAAACTAGAAATGCTACAATTGATGAAAAACACTGGAGGAGGTGATTTATCAGGAGTTTTGTGTTTACATGTTCTCTAGGTGGAGGACATCTGCTTGGAGGGCCACAGGGTGAATCACTATCTATCTCCATCCTCAGACTCCAGTCAGACGGAGGGAGAAGTTGATGAGAAAGTCAGCATTAAAAAGGTAGCACATTCTTACATGTGTACATTTTTTATGTAATATCCACAATGTCTCAATATCAAGTAACATGAAGAAGTGACCTATTACGATCCACAGCTGAAACAGTTTCCAGTCTTCTAAAATTAAAGACACATTATAATAAGTTGTTTATCATATTTTTTACTTTTCACGTTTTGTGCAAAAAATTCTTTATTTTTGGTTTCACAAATATCCCTTTTAGTTAGTAAAAACAAGAAAACGTAGCACAGTTTCAAAACCAGTTTCACTCAGGTGTGTCATTCTTTATATACTCTTTTCCCAGCTGGAAGGCTCTCTGCGTTTCTCTCTCTACTATGACCAGATGCAGTCTCGTCTAGTGGTCACAATTTTGCAGGTAAAAAGACTTCAGGAACACACAGAGTCGTGCAGCCAGCAGTCATTTGTGAAAGTACGATTAATGAGAGCAGAGTCACACCGATTGAACCTGGAGGATAATTGGGACAAAGAGGTAAAAATGATTATTATGAAACCATTATATACTGTGTGGCTTTACTTTTATGTGGTATAAATAATTATGTCAATGACTTACTTGGTATACTCTTAGGAGAAAGGGAAGATTCTATGGACAGTTCTGCAGGAGTGGAAGACACAAATTATTAGGAGCGGCAGTAATCCTTTACTTGGAGATCAGTTCAGCTGTGCTCTGCAACAACAAGAAGACATGCTTCATCACACCAATCTGAGGATGGAGGTCGAGCATTGCATCCATTTATTGTTTACAATGTTTTTTATTTTATCAGCAAAAATATAAAACTGACTAAGGTTTCAAATTTACTTACAATCTTAAGAGTTGAGTAGTTGTTAGAGCAACAGAAAATTAATGTCTGGTCTAACTCAGTGATGTTTGTCTTAGGTGTGGGATTTTGACACATTTTCCAGGAACACAATATTGGGAGAGGTTAGGGTTCAGCTGGGGCAGTTAAAAATCTCTCAACCCTTGGAGCTACAGGAGGAGCTGCAGATACCACAGAAGGTTAGAATTGCAAATTACATTTTTCTTTTCTAAATCCTGATTATACATTGTTTGTCTATTTGATCAAATCAATCAAAAATGAGCATCTTTGATACAGCTTCAAAATGTTTCTATTGCTTGTTGTTTAATTCGCTCACTTTCCTGGCAGGACCTTGTTGGAGAGGTGTTGCTGTCACTGAAGTTTCTTCCCACTTCTCAGAGGTTGGAGGTTGGTCTGCTAAAGGTCAGAACTGTCCCTGCTGAGACTCATTCAGACACTGGTAAATCACACATATCTACACAACCAAAAATTAGGCCATCACAGATCAGATCGATGAAATATAGTTTGAAATCAAATTTGCTGTTCACAGCCTTGTACGCCAGAATCAGCATTCAGTGCAATCAGTACAGACTAAGGTATCAGAAAACCTCTGCTGTGTCCCGATGCCTGATGACAATCTTCAATGAGGTGTTTATTTTCTCCCTGCCTGAATTTCCTCTGGAACGGTGTAAAATTACAGTCTCTGTTTATGAGACTCGGAAAACAAACAAACACCTCATTGGACAGTTGACTGTCGGAAAGGAGAAAAGTTCAGAAGACAAGCACTGGAACTTGATGATGTGCTCAGTGCGCCAACCTGTTGCAAAGTGGCATGGCCTGATGATCTGAGCATCAGAGGCGACAGCACATCTGTTACATTTTTGCATGGATACCAAGAGTTTGTTGTTTATGTATCACCAAACATTGACCTTCACATCTCCACCAAACTTCAAGAAACTATTGTGCAATTTTAATGTTAACGTTATTGTGCAATTTTTGGGTAATAATTTTATTTCTAATGCAGATCTAAATAATAAAGTTATTTCATAATATCAAATAAAATATTAATATATTTAATTGAAAATAATATATCAACATTTTTCAACTTCTTTTTGAACTTCTTTTTTGAAGTATTAATGACTTTGAAGAACCAAAAGCAACCCTTAAAACATTATTTATTTGAGTTTCCACATACTTATTTTGGTGATGCTTTTATGACATTTCCTACTGTAGTTATCCCGGCTTCGGTTTTCATATACAGTATAATATCAAATTTTCTGTACCTTCCTTAATGTAAGTATTAGAAAATGGAGAACCTATATTAAGATACACTATTATGTGCGCATGCGTAAGAAGCTTATAACGAGCCGCGAACTCCGGTTCGATCCGGTTTTAAACGGATAAAATCCGAAGAACGCTTAACAATTAAAAAAAGCATTAGAAGTTTTTAAATTATCTTCCAAAAAGACAAAAAACAATGTTAAATGACAACATCTACAGTATTAAGAACGGTTTAAAAAAAAAAAACTATATATAGATGAAAAGCAAAGTTTTGGTAATTGCTACATTACCTAGCCATAAACTAATACCTAAATTAGTTGAATTGTGTAGCCGTTAAAGAAGTGTTTTAACTACAGACAAAGCTGTTATATTATTAAAACCATTTGAAGCAGAGCCAATTGTCGTATGAAGACGTCTCACAAGGTAAGCTGATAATATTCAGGTTTTGGGTTTTTTTTTTCTTCTTTTTTTAAGCATTCTTAATAGCATGTAGCCCCATGTTATAACCTGCGGGTGATGCAATTTAGGCATTTTAAAGCCCTGGCGCGTTAATATATCTCTTACAAGTCGGTACAAAATATTTTTCAGTAAAGTTAATTTTTCACTGCTGTATACTTTTTAATTTGAATATAAAAATTGCCCAGTGGCAAAAACATGTGAGCTCTGGTGTGTGGTCAGTTGTGTGTTCAATCTGTATAATATGTGTGGTCAGCAGCAAGTAGCTGTTCTTCTGAGCTTCAACAATGATTTGTTAAAAATGTGCAAAATATTGTGCTGTGTCACAATGACAAATAAGTTACTAAAAAATATTTCAAATGTGTACGTGAAACGTCTGCTTGCTTTCAAAAGTACTGTATTCGAGACACCCGCCTAGGACAGCAATTTATGAACGTATGATATAATCTAGAATTTTCGAATAATACGCTGAGTCGCAATCGCGGTCCCATCGTGTGAGCCGAGCTGCTTCGGCCTGTTCCGCTCTGCCTACAGCCATAGTCCAACCGTATTTAAATAAAGTTGCATACTGTAGGTAAGTGCATTAATGTAATTTTTTTCTTCTTCTTTCCTTTCTTTAGCTTGTGGCTTAGCTAGCTTTATCGCTAAACCATAAAAATGTAAAGACTTAATTAGTCGTGTCTGTGTAGGTCATTTAATCCAAAAATACTTACATCGAGGGTAACTGGACTTAGTTAATCATATTATCAAACAGCTAATATATTGTAGGTGCGCATAATGTATTAGAACTAGTATAGTAGTAGTAGTATACTTGAACCTAAAGATGCAGACCTCTTCTTGCTATCTTGCTACCATCAAGGATAACTTTAGAAACTGCGTTTATGCTTCTATTGTAATATTTATGGACGTATTATGTATTTTAAATGATATTATGTGATTTTAATGATTTTATTTAATTACCACGTTTTAGTATTGATATATGTATACTCGATCCTAACCGGGTTAATAGTCTAAAGCTAAATATTGCAAAAACATTTTTCATAAATAATAGTATAATATACTATAATAATATAGTACACTATAAATTATTTTAAAATGTATTAGCAGTACTTTCAATTTCTCTTCTTTTCTCTTGTTTTGGAACTGTTCAAGATGCTTTTAGATGTAAACGTTTACCAGTGGAAAACCAGTAGATGGCAGAAGCGTTACTTAAAACTTCAAATACCAGCTGTCTTTGAATTCTTAAGGAAACTGGTAAGTCTTCAAATCAAATGATGAGACTCGTAGTTCTAAGCAATTAATATTTAAATAAATTTCAAGATTTTTTACAGTTTGAATGCATATGTGAAGTTATAAAATTAAGTTCTATGTAAATGTTAATTAGACTAGAGGCCTTTGGGTTATGTGCCTTGAACATTTTGAGCCTCTTCATAAACACTGAGACTCATATGTGTTTACCCCCAGGGATTGATATTAAACAAGTTTAGATTTAAAATTGTAAATGTACAGCAAAGGAATATCATGGGATTTAGATCAAAATTTCCTTGCTTGTAATATTAACAAAATAGGAATAGCTTAGCGTGCATATAGACTAAGTCAACATTCTGGCAAATAATTAATTTCTTATGAGAAGAAAAGCAGTCTTAAAAAAAAGCACACAGACGTTAATTAATCGTCAAAGAAGTTTATTTTTACAACCATTTCCAATCATATTTTATGATTAGCATGTTTTACTCAGCTGCCTCTTTTCCCTGTAAAAAATAAGATGATGAATGGTTAGTAATATAACCAACACATTTTCAGCGGTAATCTACAATACTTGATTTTGGTGTGTAACATGCCTATGTTTTATTTACCTTGCCAGAGTCACGGCTCTTGGCTCTCAGCTTATTGACCTGGGACTCAGCAATGTCAGCACGCTCTTCAGCCTCTTCCAGTTCATGTTGGACCTTCCTGCACTTGGACAAATGAACATTGGCCTGCTCCTCCTGGAATACATAATTGTAAATTGTAAATATCCAAAAAAAGGCAAGTACAATTACAAGCTGTTATTATCTTCTCGTGAAGTTTAGCCTGCTCTGCTTACCGCTTCCTCAGACTGCCTCTTGTAGGCCTTCACCTTAAGCTGCAACTTGTCAACCAGATCCTGCAGCCTGGTAACATTCTTCTTGTCCTCTTCAGTCTTCATAAAAAAATGTGAGTGTAAAATATTTAAATGGCCTAAACTGAGGTCATTACTCAAATGCAATTTTGCTGCAGTGGTTTTTATATTTTTTTCTCTTGTACTACAATTTTAAAAGGATGATACCTGGTAGGTGAGCTCCTTCACCCTCCTCTCATATTTGCGAACACCCTTAACGGCATCTGTTCCACGTCTCTGCTCAGATTCAACCTCTGCTTCCAGCTCACGCACCTATACATCGTTGAAAAAGTGCAAATGTTAACATTATTTACTTTAGAAACATGTTGATGTTTCCATCACAACTATCTTACTCTCGATTCAAGTTTCTGGAGCTGCTTCTTGCCACCCTTCATGGCCAGGTTCTCAGCCTCATCCAGACGGTGCTGCAGGTCCTTAACAGCAACTTCCAGGTTCTTCTTCATCCTCTCCAGGTGAGCACTAGTGTCCTGTTCCTTCTTCAGCTCCTCAGCCATCATTGCAGCCTTGAAAATAAAACAAACAATGGAACTTGCAAAAATAACTCAAAGGTTACCAAGGGTACACTATTTAAAAAATAAAACATAACCCTACATCAGTAATAGCTTTCTTGGCCTTCTCTTCAGCATTTCTTGCTTCCTGAACAGTATCATCAACTTCGCTCTGGATCTGAACCAGGTCAGACTCAAGCTTCTTCTTGGTGTTCAGAAGGCTTGTGTTCTATGTGAAAAAAATAAGGACAAAAAACAAGATAAAACAATTATGAACAAAACATTAATCTAATATTTAACATTAATTTAGAACTCATGATTTAACTTATGAATTTTATTTTATAATTATTTTATCACCTGAGAATGCAAGAGGCCAACACGCTCACTGGCATCAACAAGCTCCTGTTCAGCAACTTTGCGACCCCTCTCAGTCTGCTCCAGAGCAACTCTGAGTTCATCAATTTCAGCTCCCATGAGACCATTTCTGCGCTCAACCATAGCAGCCTGTTCCTTAACGTCATCCTGTGCTCTGACAGCATCATCAAGGTGCAGCTGAGCATCCTTAAGCTGTGCCTGAACATTCCTGAGCTGCTTCTGTGCCTCAGAAGCCTGGCGATTGGCATGGCTGAGCTGAATCTCCATCTCATTCAGGTCTCCCTCCATCTTCTTCTTGACTCTCAGGGCATCATTTCTGCTTCTAACTTCAGAATCCAGTGTGCTCTGCATGGAGTCGATCACCCTCTGGCTGTTTCTCTTAATCTGCTCCATCTCCTCATCCTTTTCTGCCAGCTTCCTGTCAACCTCACCCTTGATCTGGTTGAGCTCCAACTGAACACGCAGGATCTTAGATTCTTCATGCTCCAGAGTTCCCTGAGGTTGTGAAAGATGAAAATGATCATCTTTGCTTCAAGGTAGTTAATAAAACACAAAACGAGACATTACAATGATATTTTTATGATTGGTACCTCAGCTTCCTCAAGAGCTGTCTGGACCTCAGACTTTTCAGTCTCCAGCTGCTTCTTGGACTTCTCCAGCTCATGGATGCTCTTGCCAGTTTCACCAATCTGTTCAGTCAGGTCTGAGATCTCCTCTGTAAAGTCAAATGTGTGCAAATTAATGCATGTAATCGTAAAATGTAGTTTTTCAATTTTTCAAACATTATTGTAATGGTTAAAAACTCGGTGACAACAGTAATATTTAGGTTAAAACTTACGCTGCAGGTTCTTGTTTTCACGCTTCATTGTCTCCAGCTGATCCAAGGCTTCCTCATAGGAGTTCTTCATCTTGAACAGCTCAGTGCCAAGAGTACGAGCCTCCTTCTGAGCTCCTTCAAGCTCAGCCTGACCCTCCTCATACTTCTGCTTCCACTCTGCCAACACCTACAACCAATTTTAGTTAGCTTTATATAGTTATGGTAAACAATATGAATACAATTATTATTTAATATAAAATAAAAGTATGACATAGAATACTGACTTTATCAAAGTTCCTCTGCTTCTTATCCAGGTTAGCAGCCAGTCCATTAGCCCTCTCAACATCAATCATGAGATCCTCCACTTCACTCTGGAGTCTCTGTTTGGTTTTCTCCAGAGAAGCACACTTGGAATTCACAGCCTCAATCTGCTCCTCAGCCTCTTGCAGACGCTGAGCCAGCTTTTTCCTTTAAAATATACAAATATGTCTCTTTATGAGTCCCTTGAAACTCCTACTTTTTTACAGTGTTGATGTTTAACATAATTATTCATCTTTCTCTATTGAAATGTTTGATAGCTACTCACTTGGCCTCCTCAAGCTCCTCAGTGCGCTGGATAGCATCAGTCTCATACTTAGTTCTCCACTGAGCCACCTCACTGTTGGCCTTGGACATACCACGCTGCAGCTCAGCCTTGGCCTCTTGCTCTTCCTCAAACTGCTCCCTCAGCAGATCACAGTCATGGCGGGCAGATTGCACAGCGTGGGCCAGAGCATTCTTAGCCTATAATATTAAGGTTTATTAAATAGTGAAGAAAAATTCTAATACAACATACATAGTCATAGTTGCTCTTTGTTTTACCTTAACCTCCTCTTCCATCTGTCTCTTGAGCTCCTCAAGCTGCTGTGTGTAAGCCTGTTTGCCTCTGCTTAGCTGAGAGACAAGGGCTTCCTTCTCCTCAATTTGACGGCCGAACTCACCTTGAAAAAATAATTTGAAATTGATGACTTGGCTCGTTTTGGTCATGTAGTGCAAATTTCTGTGGTTGTATTACAATTCAATTGTACCGTTTTCTGTCAGGAGACGTGCTTTATTTGCACCCAAGTCATTGATTTGACGAACATTTTCATCATTCTTGGTCTTCAGTTCACTAAGTTGGTCCTCAAGAGTACGGCACATCTTTTCAAGATTTCCCTTTAGTAAAATAACAGTTCAGTGTTAATTTTCGGTGGACTTACTATGTAATATTATAATATGGGACCTTAGTGAGAATACCTTTGCTTTGGCAACAGCCTCCATGTTGCTGGACAGGTCGTCAATCTCCATCTTGTATTCACTCTTTTCCTTTTCAAGCTTCTGCTTGACACGCTGGAGGTTGTCAATCTGTTCTCCCAGCTCAGCAACGCTGTCAGCCTGCTTCTTACGGAGAGCAGCAGCAGTGGCTTCATGCTGCAGAGTGGACTCCTCCAGGTCACGACGGAGTTTCTGGAACTCAGCCTCGCGCTTCTTGTTCATCTCAATCTGAGCAGCAGTGGCTCCACCGGCCTCCTCCAGTCTCTCACTGATTTCCTCAAGTTCTCTGGAGAGGTCAGCCCTCTGCTTCTCAACCTTGGCACGTGCAGCACGCTCTGCCTCAATCTCCTCTTCCAGTTCCTCAATACGGGCCTGTTTAAGGTGATTAAATAGCCTTTAATTTCCATTGTTTCCTCACATAGCACCCAAAACAGCCATAAAGAAGCACAAAGTCACCTGAAGCTCCTTGATCTTCTTCTGCAGCTGAGCACCCAATGACTGCTCATCCTCAATCTTGCTAAGGAGTTGACTGACTTCAAAGTCCTTCCTGTGAGAGTAACACAAAGTACAGATTTGAGTTGTACTTTTTCATTCTTCCATATTCATTTTTCCATAATTAGGTTTGGTTTCACATATTGTTTCTGTTATTGATCCGATTAAACATGTTAATAGTTTGACAACCATAAAAACATATTAGTTTACTTTTTAATTTTCTCCTCAGACTGCTGCTTGTCATTCTCAAGATCCATGATGGATTCCTGAGCCAGTTTCAGATCACCCTCAAGCTTTCTCTTGGCTCTCTCAAGGTCCATACGCAGTTTCTTCTCTTGTTCCAGAGAACCCTCCAGCTACAAATTAAGATAAGTTCATTATGAGTATGATGAAAAGATACATGTGGGAAATCTGAAGCATTTTTGGAAACTTACATCATCGACTTGCTGTTCCAGCTTGGTCTTAGACTTGGTCAGAGTGTTGACCTTGTCCTCCTCAGCCTGCAGGTCATCAAGTGTCTGCTGATGAGCCTCCTGAAGGGCTTTCTTCTCCTTGGTCAGTTTAGCAATGCTCTCATCCTGAGAGGCCATCTCCTCTGTCAGGTTCTTGACCTGTGTATTTAAGCAAAAAGCTGTTACCATCTATTCCTAAAAGTGTATTTGATGATATGTCGATATTAATATATGAAAACCTTGTTCTCAGTAGCGTGTTTCTCCTTCTCCACTTTAGCCAGGGTAAGCTCCAGATCATCAATATCCTTCTTCAGCTCTGAGCATTCGTCCTCCAGCTTTCTCTTCTTACCAGTGAGCTCAGCATTGATTTCTTCTTCATCCTCCAGCCTCTCAGTTGTTTCCTTGAGTTTGGCCTCCAGCTGAATCTTGCTCTTGATAAGTCCCTCACATCTTTCCTCAGCATCAGACAGATTCTCTGATTCCTGCGTTGGTAAATGAGGATCAGTGTCAATATTTGATAAACAACATTTAAGGTGATCAAACATGTTTTAGTAATATACATACAGATGCCACTTGCAACTGCAAGTCGTTCTTCTCCTGCAGGAGGGACACCATCTTCTCCTCCAGCTCCTTCTTCTTGGCCAGGGCAGTTGCCAAGTCGGTGGTCATCTTCTCATAGTTCTCCTTCATCTGAGCCAGCTCCTTCTCAGTTTCAGCACTCTTCAGCAGAGGCTTGATCTTGTAGTACACCTTCATCCATGGCCAGTGTTTGACATTCATGAATGAGCGGACATTGTACTGGATGGTGAAGATGGCTTCCCTGTGCACAAGACAATGTTGTTTAAGAAAAACTAAATCATCT